GAGAAAAAGAAAATGAAATGAAAGAGAGGAAAAGAAAATGGAAATATATTTTCTACGCGATGAAAAATTGTCATGAAACTTATTGGAAAATTGTAGATATAGTTTGGAAAGTATGAAAGTTGCAAGAAAATTCTTCATTTATCTACATTGCCTTTCCTTCGAAGAAAGTAGCGATGAGACTCAAATGTGGAATTACCGGTCTACACTAAGAAGTAAAGACACCGATCAGTGTTATTTAATGCGTGAAGCAAACAAGTTTCTTGAGACCTAGGCGAAAAGCGAGAGACAAAGCGAGCACTTCATCGAGGTGAAGCGAACAATAAAAAACACAAGCAAATTTTTTACATATAAACCAGCATAGATGAAAATTTTGGTTATTAGTTCTCAACCATCACAAATGAAATTCTTTCTGTTACAAATAAGAAGCAACAACAAAGATTATAAGGTTTTCTACTAAATTAGTTCTTTTTGAGAGAAGCAATTGAATTAAGCAAAACAAAGCAGCAAAATCAAATAGGAGTAGTCTAAAAACAAACACAACTGAATCAGTCTAAGCTGCAAGGGCAAAAAACCAGCATAACAAAGCAGAAAACCAGAATAACAAAACCAAAAATTAGTCTAAACATAACTGTATAACACAATATCACAGTAGAAGCTGAGGGGGAGGTTCCAGCAGAACTAGAAACATAATCAACATCACAACAGAATTAGCAGGAAAAAAAAATAAAACAAATAGAGTAGGAGAGGAGGAAGTAGAATCAATATCACAGCAAAAAAAAAAACAAAAAACAAAAACAAAGTAGAAGAGGAGGAAAACAGAATTAGCAAAAAAAAAAAAAAGTAGAAAACAGAGTAGAAGAAGAGGAGGAGGTGGTTCCAGCAGAGCCAAAAAATTAGAAGAAGAGGGGGAAGAATTAGAAGAGGACGAAAAATTAAAAAGTTCACTAAAGAGATCGCTTATTCGCTTTTTTTGCTTCTCGTTTCTTCACTGTTGCTCGCATTTCTATCACCTCGCCTCGCTTACGTTTGCTTCTCCAAGATGTTCAAGGCAACATAGGGCCGCCTTGCTTTGCTTCTCGTCTAGGCTCGCTTTTCACAACATTGACACCAACATTATAAAACAATTTATAGAAAATGAGGTGAAGAATGGAAAATAAGTTTCCCCACTTGTATTTGGTTATGCTGATAATGTGTTCGTATTTTGTGCCAAAAGTGTTGAATTTTCACAATAGAACAATTAACCTACTTTAGTGCTAGAGATATGCAACTGAAATTTACTGCTCACTTCTCGATGTTGTATTGAACTTTTTTGTGTTTCTATTGAATATGAATAGAGAAGTTTGGGTCCTCTTTTTTGTTTTTAGTAGTGGGTGGGAAATAAAAGTTGAGTGAGTTAAAAGGTGTGTATAAGGGTTTATGGGACCAAGTTTTAAATGTAATTCGGAGGGTTGATTTGTATAAATATTTCAATTTCTGTCATAGTAGAGGTGATCACACTATGTTGACGTCATGGTTCAGAGTCGCATTATAGGTCATTGACTGAGAGGGGACTAAGACACATTGGTCGTGGTGTCACAATTCAGGATCGGTCGATACACTCAAAACGCTAGATAGAAGGCCAAAATTTTTTTTAAAAAATCATGAAAAATTCCAAAAAATCTAAGTATCATAATCCAAGCATTAGATCCCCAAAATGTATTATTTAACACATTGAACATAGTAAAAATGAATTATAATGGTGCTATCAGTAATTGTCTAAACCTTCGATTACATGTTCTATAAAGTACTAAACAGAAAAAATATAAATTATAATAAGACATTAAATAAAATTAACCAATGGGATTGAGAAATAAAACATGATGAAAAACAAAAAAAAAGGCAATGGACTGATCAGTGGGATTGTGAATAAAAAAGGAGACAAAATAAAAAGGCAATGTTCCATCCTACTGTACCTTAAAATAGTGTGCTTAGTAGTTTAATGCATAATTGGTTACTAAGGCATAATTGGTTTGACTCGGGGAGGAGACGATCAAATGGAGTGAAAAGAGAGGGAGAGAGAGATTGCGAGACAACGATAGAGATCGAGTGACTAACAGAGGGTCAGAGCTAGATCAAAGCTTTGCTAGGACGTTGTTGACGGGTCTCTGCTATGAGCTTTTCTAGGGTAATGGATTTCTACGAACAAGAAGAAGGATCGTTTGAACTCTAAAGAAGTTGCATAGGGTTTCAACCGAAATTTATAGGTTAGTATTGCTATTTTTTTCAATTGTTGATCAGTTTATATAATCCCAAAAAGGGTTTCAATAGCTTGACAATTGCATGTGAAGTCGATTGTGAGCTTCAAAAATTTGAGTGAACCATGTAGGTTCTGCAAAGTTGATCTGAAATGTTTTCTTTCTTATAAATCTTTTATGCTTTGCCTTTTTCTTGGGTGTTGCTAATTTGTTTTGGTAGACTGGTACTTCTTATCTTTATCTCTGTGACCTTTTGTTTGACATTTTCTCTATTGTCTGAGTCTGTCATTAAACGATTTGGCAAATCGGTTCGACTCCGATGCGGATCGGTTCGACTCTGAGTTGGTCGAGTTATACTGATTTAGAGCTGATTCGAACAAAATTTGTGTTTCTTCCGTAACATGATTGAGGCAGATATGAATCGACCGAGTTCTATCGAATTCGGCCGATACTTTAAACCATGTTCTATCGAATTCGAACAAAATTCGTGTTTCTTCCGTAACATGACTGAGGCAGATATGAATCGACCGAGTTCTATCGAATTCGGCCGATACTTTGAACCGTGGTTGACGTAGGATTTTATCGAGCCTAATAAATCTTGTGTCTTTTTGAGTGATTTATTTATTTCTTGTCAATTCAGCCATTTATCTTGATACTCAAATCAGGGGCACCTTTTCAATGTACGTATACAACTTGCTTGTTTTTTGGTCTGTGTTAGCTTCTCAAGTTTTAGTATACTCAAGCTCGGCTGTAAATGCTCGGATGTGGTTTGAGCTCGACTATCAAGCTCAAGATTTTGTTGAAGCTTGGCTCCTCGAGCTTGAGCCAAAAAACGAGCCACACTTGTTGGTCAAAAATCCCAAAAATTAAATCCTAAAATCAAATTTTCAACAAAATCCCAAAAAAAAGGCAAAATCAAAAAAAAACTAAACGTAGAATTTCAGTATTTCTAAAAAATCTATGTTGATTGAGAGACAAGGTGGTAGTGACATTGGTTAGCTTTAATGACTAGGAGCAAATCAAATTTGAATAGCAGAGCATAGTTGCAACCTCCATCCTCTGTGAACTCTGTCACATTTTTTCATGGCCACAAAAGCTTCGGTGCGTATGTGAGAGAGAGAGAGAGAGAGAGAGGGTGAAGATGATAGACATATCAAAGGGGTAGAGAATAGTTTGACATGCAAGGTTTGTGGCTCGAAGTAATTAATGTGAGCAAACTTCTTTTTGTTCTTTCAAACTAGTATATCACGTGAAGGATAATTTAGCTTCTTTAGGTTCATGTAGTTTTACCCAAATACCCTCAAAAATCTACTTATTTACATACTTGTCTAGTATTGATGAAAAAAAACGACACTATTCAAAACATTAAATGGGAAAACCGGCAAGTCGGGCTCGGCTCATTTACAAAACGAGCCTAAATTTTTGTTCATTTCCGGCTCATATTGTGATATGAACAAAGCTTGAACGAGCCAAAAATCAAGTCGAGCCAATCGTTTACCATCCTTAGTCCTGGTGAATGTATTTTCTTTGCAGTTTGTAAGTCCTCCATGCTTATCACAAAGTTGAGTGTTTAATTTTTCGAAGTCGAACTTTTTCGCATCTATCAACATGTCTTTAAAATATAAAAACAAACTATCGGAGAGTTTGTTTTGATATAAAAACAAACCATTCTTCACCAAGCAAACATGGTCCCACATTGCTTGGACAACGAATCCTTCTGTTAATACATTTAAATTTTGTTTCTCCAATTCACCATTTAGAAAAATCATCTTAAATCAAGCTTTTTTGGCTCTTAATCTAACAAAATAACCATGACAAGTACCAACCAAATCGTGCTATGCTTCACTACAAGAGAGAACACTTTCTTGGAGTTAACTCACTCTTTTTACTATAGCCTTTGCCTTCAAACACACTTTAAACCTAACATCTTCCACTCCTAAAGTTCCTTTGTTTCTTTTAAGATCCATATTGCCATCGATGATCTTCTGACCCTTTGGTAATTTCACAAGCTTCCAAGTATATTGAAGACTTGCAAAGTTAAGGTGTCATTGAAAAGTGCAAGTTTGTGCATGGTTGATTGCTCATGATAAGATTAATACTTATGATATGTCACAAAGGCTGAAATATTGTATGTGGAACCTCAATATTGATGGGCTTATTAGGTAAATGACAATTTGCATATACAATACGCTTAGTCGTGTGTTATGCGTGAAGCAAGTTGTGAGTGTAGACCATGTATTTTAATAGTGTTTTGCGGCATAATTCCTTTGGAACAAGTTATTTGAGTTGGTAGGGCTCTCTTGCTTGTTTTTGGTAGATTACAAAGGTTTGGGTGGTGGTGTAAGGAGTATTACTCTGTTATTTTGCTTTTTTTTTTTTGCAATTATTTGAGTCATTTGGTTGGAAAGAAATTTGAGAATATTCGAAGATAAAGAGGGGATGTTATAGAAAGGTTGTGAGATCGAACTTATTCCATAGTGTATCTATTTGGGCCTCGATGACGAATGAATTTGAGATATCACTCTTTTTTGTATTACATCGAATTGAATGACATCTTGTGGAAGGTAGTGTTGAGCTCTTGGTGATTGTTTTATGTTGTTTATATATATTTTATTTAGAATGCAAATATGGTTATAAAAAAATCTCTTTACTTACTCATGCCCCCCCCACCCACCCCAAAAAAAAAAAAGAAAACAAAACAACAAAAAGGGACAAGAAAGTAGATTTATTAACTTTGTCGCTGTGGTTCAAAATTGTCTCCTAGGTATGGTATGCTATTATTTTGAGATTTAACTTATCATTATTTGTGTTTCAACATCTTATTCTAGTTTTCCTAACAAGTTTGGCCGTCCCTTAAATTTGTCCTGTGAATCTGGGATGATTAGTGCATACAAAACTCGGGCCATCACTGGTCATATTATGACTATCACTGGAGCAAAATTGTTTTAGTGTTATGCTCTTTTGTAACAGTAAGAGGATTAATATGATATGATGGATTTTGGAGAATTTTTTGGCTTCAAGTGCCTGGTTGCAGACTACATGTTAGCTTTGTTGTCAAATGGAATTTATGACATGAAATAATGAAAAAAATGTGATTTCACTTTTGTTATGCTCTCTTTCGCTTTTAGCATGCGGAATCTGTAGCTCTACCTTCAAACCAACAGGGCAGTTTGATCCTAATTATTTAAGTTTTTCTCTCATTGAAATGGCATGTTTCTCCTGGTGAATCCAATGCTATTGGTTGTTCTATACAGATGGAACTTAGTGGAATGAGTTGATGACTAACAGATATTATTTTCCTTGTTTGTTCTTGTGCATATTTTCTTCCAGTCAGAGGTTTTTGCTGTTGCGTTTGCACTTCTTGCGTCAGGTGCTGTGATTCTGACATTGAATGTATTGCTGCTGGTAATGGCTTCTCTCTCTGGTTTTTAGGTCTAGGAATATTCCTGCTGAAAAGTAGAATAGTAATTTATCAGGCTATGGAGTCACCGGAGAAAAGATAATACTTGAAATTCTTAGACATCATGATTTCAAATTTTTTTAAAATTGGAAACCAGAAAAATGCTAATTTGGACTTTGACTTGACTGAATTTTCCGTGTACGGATTCAGGGTGGTCATATAATCTTTTTCCAGAGTCTCAGTCTCCTGGGTTACTGTCTATTTCCTCTGGATGTTGGTGCCTTAATTTGCATGTTGATGGACATTGTGATACTGAAGGTGGTTGTGGTTGGTGTGACATTGGCTTGGAGTTCTTGGGCATCATATCCATTCATGAGCACTGCTGTTAACTCCAGGAGAAAAGCTCTTGCACTCTACCCTGTTCTACTCATGTATGTATCTGTTGGTTTTCTCATAATTGCCATCAATTAATGCATCAATGGTGGCTGCTATTGGAATATATATAAGCTGATCAAACAAAAATGCAATATAATAGGCAATTGATGTGGTGGTCATTTGGTTGCATGATAAAGTTTTTGTACTTTTTTGGCTCTGCGGCTGGCTCAATATTCTTGGAACTCTGGTCTCGATGTAGAGGAAATTTACCTGTAACTTGTTCTCTTGTCACTTGTAACCTAGACTGCAAATATTTTGACCTATACCTACATTGCAAATGGAAATTGTCATAAGGCATTTTGTCTTGATTCATTTTTAATGGAGGTATTGGTGGCTTCAAATTTTGTCGGGGGTGTCTCGAATGTCAAAATGGGATAAAAATTGTGCTTAGGTACACCATCGTGGTACAGTTTTATGCAGTGTGATTTTCTTTTCTAAACCATACATTGGTGTGGCTTTAGTTACAGAATCTATCTACAGTAAAAGACGTGTGGTATAGTATATGAGGTTCTCGCTACTATTGGGTTTGGTAGGGTCTGATGGACATGGCATAATAACTTTAATTACTTAGCTGTGCACACCGTTTTCTGGGGCTTATAAACTGAGCTCTGCGTGTAGACTATTGGGTTGTTTCTGAATATCCTTGTAGGTATCAAACCAGAAAGTCTAAAGGAGATATTCAAGTCTAAAGGAGACATGACGTTTCCTTTGTCTTTTTTAGGTAAATGGTTGCATTTGTTTTGGGTTAGTCGTAAATTGCACTCTCTGAAATATCTCTTTAATTTCAATTTGCACCCTTGAAGACCAAAGTCTCAATTTACACTCTCAAAGATACAAATATATATCAATGTGCACCTAAAATTAACAATCGTTAGTTTGTTGTCTAAAATTAAATGGATAAATTACACTTAAACTTTCTCATGTTTGTCACTTACTCATTTGAATCTCCTCACATTTGAAATATTATACCTACATTTCCTGAGAATCCAAATATGATTAAAAGTGTTCCTCAATTGAAAATCCAAATAATTCTGTTCAAGTAATTTATTGCATTGAATATAAAGAATATTATATAATACCAATACTCTTGAATATTTATTATATAATACTTGCATTGTATTGAACATTTAAATGATAAGTTTGATTTTAAATTTTAAAGTACAACATACACAAAATAAAAGGTAATATGAAAATTATAGTTGTTTATTAGGATGATATTATTTTTTAAAACGGTTACATTAATGAATATTGATGACAGGAGTTATGCGTTATACGCGCACAAACGTTAGGCGTAATACTAAATGTGAGAAGGTCCAGTAATTAAGTGACCAATTTGAAGAAGTCTAGGTGTAATTTACCTATTTAGTTTTAGAGAGTAAACTAACGGCGTTAACTTCAGGTGTACATTGATACGGATTTATATATCTTTGAGGGTACAAATTAAAATTTTTGATCTTTGAAAGTGTAAATTGAGATTCGAGAAATCTTTCGGAGTGTAATTTGTGATTAATCTTTTTTTTTTAACTCAACACATGGTTTTTTCGGAGTACTGGCATGCCTTTATGTCTAACCACCTATCGAGCATTTACATTTGAGAAGATCTGTGGACTCTTGTACCTTTGAGCGATTAATATTACATAGATTTAAAAGTTAAATTTAAAAAAAAGGTTTGAAAATCACAATTATTGAATAGGTAGTGAGTTTTAATAAATGTTAGAATTGACGGTGAAATCAATGATTATGATTATCAAATTTAGTTTTTAAGTCCACGTAGTATTGCTCTTGAGCTTGCGGTTCTGAAACAGGAGAGCTTTATTTGAAGAACTGTAGAATTTTTATGGCGTAGGGCGGTGAAAGATTTACCGTTGGGCTTTCCGGCACTGCTGGTCTCCACCAACTGGTGGAAAGAGGGGGCGGGGTTGGTCCTTCACATTAAGGTGTCAAGACGGTCAAAGAAGACCACACGTAGATGTTGTGCTTTGGGCATATTCTGTTGCTGTCAAAGTTATTTGATAACGAACGGTATTAGGTAAATACAAAGTCCTGTGATTTTAAAACCGAATATTATATTTGTTTATGTGATTGTATGAGTGATCAATTTTCTCAGAAATTGATATATATTATAAATCTCTACTCAAAGGCATGCGACGCAGTAAACTCTCTCTCTCTCTCTAAAAAATAAATAAATAAAATTCAGGGTTTTCAAGAAAGGGAAAGAGTTTGTTTTCTTTTGTTCTGTATCTTTTCTTTGCCCTCTTTTGGCTATACAAAGAAGAGGCAAGAGGCTGATCTCACAGTTTTTGATTAGTCAGAAAATGGAATAATCTTATTCTCAATTCAAAAGTCAAGCACGTTTTGTTCAATGTTCATAAGAAACAAAAGGGTTTACAATCTGAAGAGTTTTCAAGATTTTGTACAAACTTTTGGGACCATACTTTGCGTGCTTAATCATCTTTATGCGGGATGCTAATTGAGCCGAGATTTGTGAGCTTGAACTTGAACTTGTCAAGTTTGTTTTTCTAAATAAGCCTAAAAAATAGTTTGTTTAGAAAATGAGTCGAGTCCGAACCCAAGTTTAAATCAAGCCAAGCCGAATAACTCGGCTATTTTACATATAAACGAGTCAAATTTTACGAGCTTGAACTGAGAGAAAAACAATTTTAAAAAATTGTTCAACCTGAACTCATTTAGAACACGAGTTGACCTCGAGCCATATTCTATCCGAGTTGAGCCTAAGTCAAGTCCGAATAATTCGTCTCAATTAATATCCCTATTTGCATGGGTACTTGTGAAAATGTGTTTCACGGGAACAGGACACGAATTTTGTTTTTCTACCCTTGGAAATTGAGAGAGAGAGAGGCGCTTTTTTAATCTATAAATACGGTTTGGTAATGAGTTTTTTTTTATCTTAAGTAACTTCTTTATGTGAAAAATAATTTTTATTAAGAAATAGCAACAATGACTAAGCTTGAAGGATCTGAGCAAAATTGGAAAAAGAAAAATAAAAACGAAGAATAAATTTGTAGAACAAGGTGTTAGTGTTTTTTTTAATGAACAGGGGTTAGTTCAAAAATATATAAAAGGGGAAAAATACTTAAAAATAGGTTTTCGCGTTCAAAAATACTTTAAAAAAATTAAATACTTATAAATACATAGTATTATTGGAGGTAGCTCAGTTCTCGCATTCTACAATCAGATTCGAGTAGTAACTACGGGAGATTTTTTTTTTTTTTTGGAAGAATTACACCCAGATCTCCTAAGATTTGTGATTTAATAACTCAAACCTCTTAATATTTGAAATATTATACACAAACTCCCTAAAGTTTGTATGAGCATAACACTTAAACCCCTACTGTCAAATATCCAATAGCATATCTATTAATAAATTATATATAGACTCTTTGAAATTTGTAGGCGTATTGTAGTTCGACTTCTCAAATTTAAAATGTTATATTTCGATTAAAAATACTTTAATCAAAAATAGAATATCAAATATTTTAAATTTTATAACCAAAATTCATGTTATATTGTACATTTATTGAAATAAAATCAAAAATAAAAATCTATTCATTGTAATAAAATTAAAAAATCAAATAAGGGCTCTAAATCATTTATAATAGAACATGAATTTTACAACAAAAATTCATGTTCTATAATATCATTTATTGAAATAACATCAAAATCAAAAATAAAAATTTAATTTTTCTTAAAAAATCATAATTAGTAGTATGCAATTATACTATCTATTGGAATAAAGCTAAAAAAATCAAACAAGGGGGCCAAACTGTGATTGATACAATATATTATAGCTTTAATTGAAATAATTTGGTAGTTTAATCGACAAAATTAAATTCCAATAACAGCCATCAAGGCACACACGTTAGCAGATTTTTTGGCGGAGATCACATCAACTGAGGAAGGAGGCAACGAAGAAGAATTAACACTCATGGCCAGTGTCCCAGCGCTTGCTTGCCTTAGGGCCAGCTAGCCAAGCACCTCGCCCTACTCCCTAGGCACTCTGCTGCCTTGGCGCCCAACTCCCTATGGGCCTAGGCTTTGGCGCCTAGCTCCCCAAACACCTAGGCCTTGGCATCCTGCTCCCCTAGTGCCATGCCCCCCAGACACCTCAGCACTCTCCTCCTCTATGCCCCAGCACAGTGCATTCCAACAACTGGTTCCTCCATACCCCTTTATGTAGCATCTGCATCCATGCTTTGCTGGAGACTTTATGTAGGTGGGAACTCAACCAATGAGGGGAGTGGAGCAAGCCTAGTATTCATCAGCCCCAATGGCACACCCCTTAAATATGTCTTATCATTTTATTTTACAGCCTCCAACAACAAGGCAGAATATGATGTGCTCATCTTAGGCCTAAGGCTGACAATTGATATGGAGACCGGTCATCTCACCCGTCTACAGTGACTCCCAACTGGTAGTTAACCAAGTAAAGGGAGATTTTGAAGTGAGAGAAGAGAGGATGCATGAATACCTAGAAATGGTGCAAACTTTACAAAAAAAATTCACCATTTCCAAATTCAACATGTGCGATAATGTCATAACAACGCACTCGCTAAATTTGCATCATTCTCAAATATCCCACCAGGTCCCACATTTATAGGTCACCAATTTGAGCCAAGTAGGCTCAAAATGGATATAGGAAGTGTCAACTGTACCTCCACCGATGACGACTAGACTACATCCATTCGGGCATATCTAAAAGAAGGCACACTCCCAAGAAATCCAATGGAAGCCCAAAAGCTAAGGTTAAGAGCGTCAAGANTTTTTTTTTTTTTTTGGAAGAATTACACCCAGATCTCCTAAGATTTGTGATTTAATAACTCAAACCTCTTAATATTTGAAATATTATACACAAACTCCCTAAAGTTTGTATGAGCATAACACTTAAACCCCTACTGTCAAATATCCAATAGCATATCTATTAATAAATTATATATAGACTCTTTGAAATTTGTAGGCGTATTGTAGTTCGACTTCTCAAATTTAAAATGTTATATTTCGATTAAAAATACTTTAATCAAAAATAGAATATCAAATATTTTAAATTTTATAACCAAAATTCATGTTATATTGTACATTTATTGAAATAAAATCAAAAATAAAAATCTATTCATTGTAATAAAATTAAAAAATCAAATAAGGGCTCTAAATCATTTATAATAGAACATGAATTTTACAACAAAAATTCATGTTCTATAATATCATTTATTGAAATAACATCAAAATCAAAAATAAAAATTTAATTTTTCTTAAAAAATCATAATTAGTAGTATGCAATTATACTATCTATTGGAATAA